GAAACACATGACATTAGTCTTGGTGCCAAATTCTTAGATAATTAAATGCATGAGCAACAAAGAAAACAAAGAAAAAAGAATAATTTTACTACACTACACTTAGAAATTTCTGCATATTTAAGTAAACATTTAATAGAGAAATAACGCCTACTATAAAATGGGTGAAAATATTTACAAATTACATGTGATAAGAGTGAATATCCAAAAAATATAAACAACTTGTAAAACGGAACAATAAAGTCGAATAACTTTATTTAGAAATAGGCAAATAATTAAAATAAAATTTCATTAAAAAATCAAATGAAAAATTTGAAAGGACACACAAAATTACTAATTTGTAGAGAAATACATTAAAATTACAATGAAAAACAAAATCCCCTCACACTCACTTAAATGGTCACTATCAATTTTTTAAAAACACCAAATCTGTTGATAATGCAATAAAAATGAAACCCTGGGCTGGGCACAGTGGCTCACACCTTAATCCCAGCACTTTGGGAGGCCGAAGCAGGCAGATCACGAGGTCAGGAGTTCGAGATCAGACTGCTTAACACGGTGATACCCCGTCTTTACTAAAAATACAAAAATTACCCAGGTGTGGTGACATGTGCCTGTAATCCCAGCTAGTCAGGAGGCTGAGGCAGGAGAATCATTTGAACCCAGGAGGTGGAGGTTGGAGTGTGAGAGTGTGACAGTATCGTGCCACTGTACTCCACCCTGGGCGACAGAACAAGAATTCGTCTCAAAAAAAAAAAAAAAAAGAAACTTATTGATTGTTGGTGGAAAGCAGGATACACCCATTATTTTATAATGTTATAAATATACTTTAAATAAAATTATCAAATACAGCAATTCCATTTATGAATCTATATCTAAAATATGCATCATAGGACCCTGAAGACATATTTGATACAATGGAATATTATTCAACCTTAAAAAAAAAAAGTCTTGTCACATTTAAACATACACTTTGAGATTATGTCAACTGAAATAAGCTAGTAACGAAATGATGAAAGTTAAGATTTCACTTAGATATATAAAATAGTCAAACTTGTAAAAACAGAAAGTGGAAGGGTGTTTGTCAAGGGCTAGAGAGAGCATAAAATGGTGGGTAAATGTTATTTAATGGACACCGCATTTTAATTTTGCAAGATGTAAAATTTCTAGAAGTCCTTTGCATAACTATGTTAATACAGTTAACATGCCTGAAATATACAGTTTTGTTTTGTTTTGTTTTTTTGAGACAGGCTCTCAATCTGTCACCCAAGCTTCAGTGCAGTGGCACATTATGGCTCACTGCAGCCTTACACTCTCAGGCTAAAATAATCCTGCCCTTCAATCTCTCAAGTAGCTGGGACCACAGGTACACACCATCATACCCGGCTATTTCTTAGATAAAAATGTTTGTAGAGAAGGTGTCTCCATATTTTGCCCAGGCTGGTCTTAAATTTCTGGGCTCAAGAAATCCTCCTGGCCTCTCAAAATCCTGGTCTTACAGAAGTGAGCCACCACCATGCCTGGCCCTGACATGTACATTGAAATAGATTTAAGAAGTTAAATTATATGTTATGTGTTTTTACAACAATTATTTTTGAAAAAACTAGAAAAAATAAAGAACTGTAAATTTTCTTGAAAATTACCTTCAAATCACAAAAGGGTTTTTTCACACAAAGGAAATACGTATTCATCATTAAACACATGGTGAAAATAATGCTATTTCAAGGACTACTCACTAAGACAAGATAAAGCCAACACTGAAAATGAACTAAGAGGCTGGGCAAGGTGGCTCATACCTGTAATCCCAGCACTTTGGGAGGCCAAGGCAGGCAGATCACCTGAGGTCAGGAGTTCAAGACCAGCCTGACCAACATGAGAGAAACCCTGTCTCTACTAAAAGAAAAATACAAAATTAGCCGGGCATGGTGGTACATGCCTGATATCCCAGGTACATGAGAGGCTGACGCAAGAGAATCGCTTGAACCTGGGAGGTGGAGGTTGCAGTGAGCCAAGATCATGCATTGCACTCCAGCTCCAGCAACAAGAGCAACACTCCATCTCAAAAAAGGAAAAAAAAAAAAAAAATGAGATTATAAAGAATATATACAAGATAAGCTATAACCAAAATTGGGGTCATATTTATAGACCTAAAAACACACACATATATATAATCTGAGTGTGATACACATATGGCTCATTTATCTTTTAATTAAATCCCACATTGACTTAAAGTATACAAACAGAATTGCAAATTGTCTAAAATTGTAACACATAAGTAAAACCAAAAACACAATAAACTGATATTAAGAAACTTACACAAAAAAATACACTAATGTAGAACTGCAAGAAAATAATGAAAGAAAGGTTTACTCATAAAATCTAGTTGGCAACATTAATGTACGTTAACAAATAATTTGTCTAGAAAACTGCAATGGTTGACTGTAACTGTGCAGTCATGGAAGGCAGGCATTTTAAACTATGGTATCTATTGTATGGCAATAAAATCCCAGACAAAATGCAGTACAATCATAAATAGGAGATGCTAATGAGAAACTTAACAGAATAAGCATATAGAAGAAACTAGTGTCAATTTTTATGTTTTAAATATGTGCTATTTTTACACAAAATAAAACTACTGTAATTCAAGTTTAGAACCAAATATAGCCTTAAATTGCTAAATTATGTATATATTTAGCAGAATATGGTTAGAGCCTCATATATAAAACAAATATTTGAGGAATAAATTATTTGCTGACAAAAAGTGGCTGAAAATTCTGTAATTCCTATTAGCCTGCCTGCATCTAATTCAGGCACAACATATACATTCTAGTATATTGTCCTAAATGTCTAAATCCAAAACTACAGACAAATTTGAAGTAGAAAATAAAAACAAAAATTTATATGGACAGTGACATTAATAAGATTAAAAAAAAAAAAAGGTGCCCTATTTGCTTATCCCCTGACAGCAAGGAAATTTGTCAGCCATTCTTGACAAAAATGTGTTTGTGAGAGAACCAGGCATCATGGTTCACCCCTGTAATGACAGCTACACGGTACATTAAAGTTGGAGAATTGCTTCTGGTCAAAATATTAAGACCTGCCGGGGTTATGGTGCAAGACCCTATCTCAAAAATAAGTGTCTTTAAGAGAGCTGAGGTCCAGGAAGGGAGTTATGAAACTCTGCTGAAGTGCAAGATTGAAGGTAATCCTTTTTAGAAGGCAGGCCCTCATTCAGGTGGCAAACTACAGGACTACTGTTTTTGGCTACAGATGAGAAAATGTTCCACCTAACTTGGTTCCACTGAGAATTTTGAACTTTACTCCTTAACCATCCCAAACCCTTCCCAGCCACAGTCTGGGGGAGGTCCTGCCCTTCCAGAGGCCTGAAGAAAGACACCCATTTATAGCCATGATGGCAGGCCTGCAGACCTTGGTCTTTACTGTGGTCCCTGAAGCAGTTCAATGATTCAGTTCCAGCTCCCTGAGCCACAGCTCATGGCCTATTCTGCCTATGTAGAAACCCATAGTGACCTGGGAAAATCCTTTCTTGTACTCAGTGAAAGCCATGCTCACCCACATCCTGATATAAGGCCCACCATATGCAGGCCTGACTGCAGAAACCTGCCTTTGGGACTGCCCTGCACAGCAAAGTCCTGAAGGATATTCATTCTGTCCAAAAATTAAATGAGAATTAAAACTATCCAAGCCCCTTTTAACAACACATCTAAAGATGGACCCTTGTGCAAGCCCAGCAGACTTAAGACCAAGCTACAACCCCTCTTCACTACAAACCCAGAGGGTATTCTATCACTATGGGGGCCCAACAAAAATAGACTTTTACTTTCTAAAACCAGTTTTTAAATACTTGAACAGGTGTTTGCTCCTTCAAGTTTACAGTCACCAATGCAAAACTATTGTTTCTTATTGTCAATGCTTCTATTTTAACATAGCACTGAAACTATGTGGAAAACGAAATAGTCAAAAGAAAAATTTAAAGTCATTGAAATTAAAGACCAATAAGTAAAATGTTGCTTTTTGTAGATCATGTAATTATATACATATATAAACAGTACTTTAAAACCTGTTTAAACTAATGAATACACTCAATTAGCAAAATATAAAATTAACATACAAGTGTAAGTTATGGTTCCATACACTTAAAACAAACTATTTGATAAAATAGAGGGAAAAAAATGTTAATTACAATAGCAATGAAATAATCAATTTTAGAATGAATTTAACCAAGGAGCTCATAAATCTTTTAAGTGAAAGATATAGCAATGAAAAAAATTAGAGGACCCAAATAAACTTAAAAATATTTTACTTTTATTGAAAGAAAAAGTATTGTGAAACTGTCATGTTATCCAAAGTGATCTATAGATTTGATAAACTCCCTATCAGAATTCCATTGTTTTTTATTCACAGTAATGAAAAATACAATCCTAAAATGTACATGAAACTACAATAAACTTTGAATAGCCAAAGCAATCTTGAAGAAAAAGAACGAAGCAGAAAGACATCAAATGTATAATTTCAAACAATATTTCAAGACCATAGTAATGAAAACAGGATGAAATGTGCAGAAAAATAAAGAACAACAATAAAAAAACCCAATGGAACAGAAACCACTACTCTCACGCATTTCAGACATAATGCAAAAAGAGAACTTAAAAAACAGTTTAAAATAGAGTGTCGCAAAATTATGCAGGTATCTGTCTGTCCACAAAAACAAGAAAAAAGAAGTCAGATTGTGCACTCACGTATGCCATGAACAGTACTTTGGCTGTCACTGTAAACTTGAAGAAAGATAATTGTAGGGAAAGTAGAATTCTTAGAGAATTTATAAGCACTAGCAGAAGTGAGAGTATAATTAAATAAAAAATTCAGGCTTCCCAGAAACTATTTCCTTTGGAACACAGCTTCTCAGATCACTTTAAAGACTTGCTTTCTTCTTGACTTTGGACCTCTCATCCATGTTGTCTGTTGTATTCACTCTCACCTACCTGGGGGTTCATCCACCATCTCATGTCGCGTCATATTCCAGGGCTCTTTTCCTTGCTCCAGACAGGTGATCAGGTCTGGCTTAGAGACGGCAATACCTGTTTTATTAAAAATAACTAACATGAATCTTCCTCATATTCTCCAATTGCCAACTTAGTAATGTGCTCAGTAAACAGGATATAATAGAATATTCTAATAAATTTATCCCAATATACTAATTTGTAACAGAAATGTCTACATATTTAGAAAGCATTTTGATTTTGCAGGTTCTTAATTTTACTGCTTGGTACTACTGAATCAAAAACTGGTGATGGCAATTAGATTTTAAGGTGTAACAGTATTTTATGCCACAAAACTTCTGAAATTACCACTAATCTAAAGTGAAGGACACAGATCAGCTCAGGAATGTGGAAAGTTCAGGTCAAGATGAAACTTCTTGAAGAAATTCTTTTCTAAACCAGCGAATCCCCAGGATTTTCCTGAAAAGAGAAATCTGAAAGCACAAATTTCCAGAAAACATTCTACAAAAAAGAAATGAAGCCTGTAATCCCAAAACTTTGGGAGGCCGAGGCGGGCAGATCACGAAGTCAGATCGAGACCATCCTGGCTAACACAGTGAAACCCCATCTCTACTAAAAATACAAAAAAAAAAAAAAAAAAAAAATTAGCCAGGTTGGTGGTGAGCACCTGTAGTCCCAGCTACTCAGGAGGCTGAGTCAGGAGAATGGTGTGAATCCAGGAGGTGGAGCTTGTAATGAGCCCAGATCGCACCACTGTACTCCAGTCTGAGCCATCTCAAAAGAAAAAAAAAAAAAAAAACCACCATTAGTCTATATTAGAAATTTAGTATTAAAATTTTCCTTACCCAGGAAGGCCAGGTTTCTGTAGTTCTCTAACATCACATTCCTATATAAATTCTGCTGTGCAGCATCCAGACGTTGCCACTCCTCCAGAGAGAATTCTATGGCCACATCCCTAAATGTCAACAGTCCCTGGAAAACACACACAAACGCACAGATTTACAAAATGGCTATGGGCAGAATTTTTCATTTGACTCAAGGTAAAATCAGAAAGTGACTAGAACTGGTTTTGACTTATAAGAGTGGCTGAAATTATCCAATAAAATAATTGTCAACACACAAACATTTTGTAACATATTGTCTAACTCTGAGAAAAGACAGTGGCATAATGTCCACAACATCAGTGTATATATGATACTTGTCTAGATGATAAAGTGTAAAATTGAGGGCACAAACACTAACAAGTACATTTTCGAGTGCTGTATTTACATAATATAGAATGAGTTGTATATATTTTTTAGATGAAAAAGGCATAGTTGTTTATATATTTCCGACAAAATAGACATGTTGAGTTAGAAGGTACCCCTCAAATTTCAATGTGTACGATAAACTAGACATCTTGTTAATGCAGACTATTTTTTCAGGAGATCTGAAATAAAGTCTGAGTTACTGAATTTCTAAAAAGCTCACTAGTAATGCCAATGTTTTGACCCCAAAAGACTATTTTGTCAAACATCCAGTAAGTGGAAGAGCCTGTGTTTTCTTCAGTTTTTCTGTTCTGTAAACAAAGATGAGGGCTTTCATTTACCAAAAAAAAACAATGCAAAGAAAACCTAAAACAAAAGGGCAGTTGCCAGAATAAATGTGATAGTTTATACACATCACCTGCATAAAGATACTTAATGATGAAGAGAAAAATAACTCTATAGCGAAAAAATCTGTAAGAAAGCTTATTAAGCAAGTGAGTTATTAATGTCAGTTGCACTAGAACAAGTTTCTGTAGTGTGCTCATGCATCCAGAAGGACATAGCAGCACTACTGAGATATTGCCCCCACGAAAGTAAATTACAGTCTGAATTTATCCATACGAAAACATCAGTTGTATGCAAAGTTCAAGATACAGGTATCTTCCATGTTCTACAATTTTTAATAATGATTTTAAGTAGTTTATTTAACACCCAATAAGCAGGTATCTCCGGATAATTTTTTCTCAACTTTCTGGGTAACAAATGCCATCCCTCTTTATAGGAGCATTTTCTTAATCCTGTAATGCATAGAGATAATAAACAAAAAAGAACCTCAACATTGTATGTTATCCATCTTTACTAATAATCTCAGGTTTTCTCCATAGAAAGAGATTATCCACACCTTTCCATGTTCAACAGTCATAAAGAGAACATTTTTAATATTGCAGATCACAAATTCATGGTGAGAATTCTGCATGGCATATAAGAAGCCATGATGCAGAGAAGGCTGTGGTAGATAGAAAAGAAATGTTTTTAGAGGACCCTTGACTATCATAAGCATTTTTTTTAACCGAGTTTTGTTCTTGTTGTTGCCCAGGCTGGAGTGCAAATGGCATGACCTTGGCTCACCAAAACACAACCTCTGCCTCCCGGGTTCAAGTGATTCTCCTGCCTCAGCCTCCCGAGTAGCTGGGATTACAGGCATGCACCACCATGCCCAGCTAATTTTATATTTTTAGTAGAGACAGGGTTTCTCCATGTTGGTCAGGTTGGTCTCGAACTCCCGACCTCAGGTGATCCACCTGCTCGGCCTCCCAAAGTGCTGGGATTACAGACATGAGCCACCGCGCCTGGCCTATCATAAGCATTTTAAAAAGTAGTTAAGACAAACTCAATAGGGAGAAAAAACACAGGTATAGAAGTAAAAATTTGCAAGTACTAAACCTGTGGCATTCCATGAGGCAGAGAGGACATAGCTCTTGATCTGAGACATGTTTAGCTGAAAAAAAGGCCATTTTTTCTCTTTCTCCTCCTCCTCTTGAATTCTTCCTCAGATGAGATTTTCTGAATTACATCTGCATCTTGAGAATTTGCCTTTAATAATTTGAGCACCACATGTTTACCTGTTACCACCACACCCAAAGGCAGAAGGCCCAAGACACAAAACCTCTACCCATTTCTGTCCTATATAACAGAAAAGATTCAGGAACAATCAGCTGCTCCACAGAGATAAAAATACAAGTTTCTCTTTTTTTTTTGTCCTCAGGTGCCCTCCCCTGCTACAGACACTGGCAATTTCTGCTACAGGAATATAAATATTGGCCACACTGTCCTGTCCTTACAAATCTAAATAGAACAGGTTCCTGGACCACTCTTTAGTGTAAAGGTAGAACTTAATGCTCATGAATGTATCTTGAACTTCTCATACTTGATTCTGGCACCTTAGAGTCACATGAGGCACTTAATTAAAACAAATAGATGTTTTCTTCAGAACATTAAACAGAAACTGTAAAAAGGGCACAAGTAAAGAGATTCCTGTAAATTGGTCATGTGACTCTAAGTAGAAGCCTGAGCTTATAACCGCTTACCTAAGCATTGTCACTCAAGCTTTAATTCGCTTATAAATCACTAGGTAAACTTGGTCCCACTCTATGTAATGTGATTCTGCAGGTTTGGAGATGATCCATAAATGGGTGTTCTAAACAAGTCCCCTGTCAGTGCTGATGTCACTCTCCCTGGGCTCATTATTAGCATTCATTACAAAAATGAGGCACAGCACAGAGTCCCTTACACTCAGCACTCTTGTCACAACACAAAAACTTCTGATACAAATGAAGACAACCATTCTCTATCTTAAAGTATATTACTTGCTGGCTCTTTAAAGTTTATAGAGAAAACAGAAAGCAGCAATTTCTGAGTAAGTCTGCATTTGGAAAACAACATGTGCACATGTACTAATGCAATGTTTATTAAGCAGGTACTATGTGCTCAATAGGATGTTACAGAGCACTGTGATAACTCATTATTTGATTTAATTCTAATAACAGCCTGTCAGTTGATACTAAGTGTTCAATAATTCTAAGGATTTAGAATAAGGACCCAGCATTTTTATTTCTTCTTTTGTTTTTCTGTCACTAATTTTTTTAAAAATGCATAGAATACAATCTAAATATAGACAGATGAGAGGGATATAGATAGACTGTAAGGTAATTTAGATGAATTATTATGTTTATATTTACCATTTTGTGACTTGTGAATCAACTACTGCATCTGTAGGAACAGAAAACAGGTTGCTAAATGGAATGTCTCTGCAAACACTAGTTTTAACAAAAAATTTAAAAATTAAGATCCTATAATACATATTTTATATTTTCCATTTATCTGCTTTTGGTTTTCAGAAAATTGTGAGAACCAATTCTAAAAAGGCAACAGGATTCATCAGCCAAAACTCTGATCTCTTCTAATTAGTTCTGTGAGGCAAGACTCCAGGGTAGGGCAAGACCTAAATAAGGCTTTCAAAAGGGTGAATCTAAATAGGGCTGAAGCGGGGTGTAGAGCTGATGTAAAATTCTGTTCTTTATGCCACTGGGGAGTATTTTTAGTTCCGCTTCATTTTTTAAGCTTAGCTTAAAAAAACAAAAAACCTTAAATCTCAGAGTTTATGTAACTGTAATCTTTTTTAGCCCCACTGCCCTTTCAATTTTTTATCACATACTAATAAGCAATTTAAACAAATCCCTTAAGGTTTTCTAGAATAATTTTTTTAAACGATAAATAAGTATTCTTAGCAGGGCATAAAAAATACAATAATAACTCTTGTTTATTAATATATGTTCAGGTATAGACATCAGAAGTCACAAAAATATAAAGAAAATGGCCCAAATAAAGCCCATATTTTTGCACACATCTATTTATTGTACCCACCATATGATGCATAATTAAACCACTTATCCAGTTGCTAGTCTACACTAAAATTTCTTGCATGGTAGGGACCATGACTGCTTCATCTATTTTTCTAATGAATATATGAATTGGAAGCAATTAGTTTATTCGTTTGAGTCTCCAGACCTCCTCATGATTTTTCACTCAAGTACCAGGGAATTAGAGAAACTCTCATCTGGGTATCAACCAAAGACATCTCTTGTATGAGGTGGGGAGCAAACAGAGGATGACTCATTTCTTTTACACTAAGACAGAAGCAAAATTAACCACTCTAGTCAGTCTGACACAATTCTGTTCTGGAGAGATTTTCAAATGTCTCAAAGACACCTTGGTGATTGTGAGAGCATTTCCAATGACCCTGGGCTGATGGTCCAATAATAAACCAGCAAGAGAGACTCAGGCTGATTCTAAATAGAAAATGAAACTACCAAATAGGCAGAGACATAATTCCGCATGCATATTTAGTTGACAGCATGCATTTTACAGCATAACTGTGAGTTGACTGGAAGCCTGAGAGGGAAAGTCCCCTCTAGAGTAAAGCTTGGTTGGCACCTTATGTGTTTATATTATGTCTGGTAATTCTACACAGTGTTTGGGAAATATAATTTTTATTAATTCTCTTCAGCACCACAGAAACTGCAGTAATGGAACAGAAAGAAAACTGTTTCATTACACAATTAAATCTGAATGTCACATGTATTACAATCCATCTGCTTAAGGATTGAAAAGAAATAAAGACGGTTACCATAATTAGTTCACAAGTAGAAGAATGTACAGCGCCATGTCATAGGTAGTTCACCCTAAATTCACCTGGTCACTGGGGAGGCCATCCCTGCATGCTAATTGGTCATATTCAATGACAAAATAAGCTTTTCACATCTTCATGGCAGAAGGTAGTTTTGCAACTTGAAGCCAGCTGCCTGCTGAAGGTAGACTTTCACTCTTCTACAAGTGGTTGAATAGGGTGCTATCTGCCCGGCGCGGTGGCTCACGCCTGTAATCCCAGCACTTTGGGAGGCCGAGACGGGCAGACCACGGGGTCAGGAGATCGAGACCATCCTGGCTACCACGGAGAAACACCATCTCTACTAAAATACAAAAAAAAAAAAACTAGCCAGGCGTGGTGGCGGTGCCTGTAGTCCCAGCTACTTGGGAGGCTGAGGCAGGAGAATGGCGTAAACCCGGGAGGCGGAGCTTGCAGTGAGCCGAGATCGCGCCACTGCACTCCAGCCTGGGCGACAGAGCCAGACTCCGTCTCAAAAAAAAAAAAAAAAAGAATAGGGTGCTAATCTTTTTGGCTACTTGTATTTTAAAGCAGTGGCTCTCTACTCCCTGAGGACTGGGCTAGTACACTCCTGCTTCCATTCTTCTGGTGGCCAGTGTCCTCTTTTGTTTCCTACCATCTGCCACTGCAGCCCACAGCACAGTGCTCACGGCTGGCAGCTCAACTCAGGTGAATGACAATTGCCGCAGGAGCACTTCAGTGTCACATCAAAGAGTGAAGCCTGGCTGGGTGTGGTGGCTCATGCCTGTAATCCCAATACTTTGGCAGGCGGAGGTGGGCAGATCACGAGGTCAGGAGTTCAAGAGCAGCTGGTCAACATGGTGAAAATATATATATATACACACACACACACACACACACACACATATATATATGTTGGGCATGATGGGTGGGCACCTGTAATCCAAGCTACTCAAGAGGCTGAGGCAGGAGACTCCCTTGAACCTGGAAGGGGGAGGTTGCAGTAAGCCGAGATTGCACCATTGCACTCCAGCCTGGGCAACGGGGAAGAATCCATTTCAAGAAAAAAGTGAAGCCTGACCTGCAGAAGGAGAGCCTGCAGGCCTCCTGGGTAGAATTGAGCCTTCACAATAATGGGAATATGAGCATTATGTAAGCCACAGTTTCTATTTACAATGGTGACACGGAAAATATACCGCTGGATTTCCAGCATGCATCCAGATAGAGATAGCTCTAAGAGTTCTCACTGTGACAGCCCACAACTTTCACAGACATTATGGGATACTAATAGGGCTTCTAAAACAGATACACAAAGCATTCGAAACAAAAACAGCTCTCATTCCAAGAAAGATGATATTGAGAGAAAAAAAGAAGTTAAAAGCATCTTAAGAAAAAACTGAGATTACATATAAGATTGATCAAGTCAGCCAGAAAATATTCCTCTAAAAAGAATCTCTCTCTAAGTATCCAAAGTGCATAGCTACTCATAGCATGAGAAACATGAGTGTTATGAAGAAAGGGGGCATATTATTAGCAGAATTTTAAAAGACTTTTTTTCCATCTCTGCTGCTCTCTAATCTGCTGCCCATTAAATGTGGCATCTATATAGAAATATATCTGACAACTACCACCAGCACTTTTTGATTAAAAAATTAAAATCTGACTGTGTTAATATAATGGAATATACGTGAGCCTGCAATATAGCTAATTAAAGAGTTATTACAGTTTTTGGGTGGCCAAATCACCTGCCTTTATTTGTCCTGTAATAGCAGCATTCCAATTTCTGAAATTAAACACACTAAAATTATATTTACCTATAACTATCCCTATTGGTTAAATTAATAATCATATCAGACTAATATCTACTGTAACAATTTGGTAGTAAATTTTCTTTGGATATTAGATATAAATATGTAATTATGAATAATTTTAATATACTACTCATAATGTATGTAGAATTTTTAAAAATTTTCTGTAACTATAATTCAGTTGAAAAACTACATTTCAAAAGTATGAATCACAATGTTAAAACAACTAAGGAATTCATTCAAAGTAAATATTGTGGCTTTATACTCTTGTAGAAAATACAGTTGAATGTATATGAATGCAGGTTGTCTACAAACATTACACATAACTATGCTAATTGCACTGAAGTAATAAACAGAAACAACGGTATGAAAATGCACTCCACACTTCAGTTTAAAACCTGAACTCTTTTTTTTTTTTTTGAGAGGGAGTTTTGCTCTTGTTGCCCAGGTTGGAGTGCAATGGCATGATCTTGGCTCACCTCAAACTCCACCTCCCAGGTTCAAGTGATTCTCCTGCCTCAGTCTCTGGAGTAGCTGGGATTACAGACATGCGCCACCATACCCAGCTAATTTTGTATTTTTAGTAGAGACGGGATTACTCCATGTTGGTCAGAATGGTCTATAACTCCCGACTTCAGGTGATCTGCCCGCCTCGGCCTCCCAAGGTGCTAGGATTACCAGCATGAGCCACCGCGCCCGGCCATAAACTGAACTCTTTTTGCTTTTGTAGTATAAATACTTTAGCCGACAAATAATTATCATAGATAATCAGGTTTCTGTCAACTTACTCAGTATCTTTCCTATATTGCAAAATTTAATCCTATTTTTACGCTCAATTTTTGTGTGCTGTTGAAATGAGTGTTACTCTGAACAGATCTGTGTCAACTTTAAAAGACTAAAAATCATAAGAACAATCTTTTGCCAAAGCAAAAATGAAGCAATTAAATCTCAGGTCCCAGATAAAGATAATCCTGAGGGGGAAAAAAAAAAAAGACAAAAGGTTTATTTAGCTGTTAATATGATTTACATATATTTCAAAAAAAAGGAGATAAAAATCTACACATAATCTAAATGTTATAAGAAAAGAGATTTTAGTAAGATATTTTCTCTTACTTGTAGTCTCTTATTTCTAATTTATATTTACTTTTACAACAGCCACGTCTCTAAACATGTTCTCGAACTCTTGGACATCTAAATTTTGCACACTGGGAGAGCACAAAAGAATGTTTATGGAAGACAAAACAGAAGAGAGAAAGGTGTTACATAAAACTCATAGGTTCAGATGAATAAAGCATGTTCTTAGAGACCTATGAAGAGATTTAGATTCTGACACAATAATAGTGGGAGACAACAACATCCCACAGGCACTAAAAGATAATTGAAGAAGAAAATTGACAAAATATTATAACCTAAACTCAACACTTGACCAAATAGTCCTAATTGGTATCTACAGAACTCTTCATCTAAAAATAACATAACATACATTCTTCTTATCACCACTCTAAAACTGACCACATACTCAGAAGTAAAAAAATCCTCAGGAAATTCAAAAATCTCAAAATTATACAAACTACACACACAGCGATATTAGCACTGACCCCACAAAAATATCTTGAAGTCTACCATGAACACCTCTGTGCACACAAATGAGAAAATCTAGAAAAAAATGAAAAATTATTAAGGAATACATCCTTCCAAGAATGAACAAAAAAGAAATCAAAGCCCTAAATAGATGAATAAGAAGCTCAAAAATTGAATTAGTAATAAATAGCCTA